AGCACTACTAGTCTTTCAGATTAGCAAGCCGTATATAAATTTAGTGCTTTATTCTCAAACTGTTCCACCACAAGTGACAGCTCATTCCACAAACAGCTTATCTTATGGCTAAAGATATATAAATACATACTAAAAACGCTGTTGGAAGTCTCTGAATGTATAATGCAGCCTGATAGACATGGTAGTGATTGTAACACTGCATTGTAGACAAATGTTAAAGAAACTTGGCAAGAAACAACACGTTTTAGCTACTCAAAATGCAGATTTTCTCAGTCTTGTCCCCTTCTGATGAATGGAACATATGGGAGTATTGTTCATAAAACTTGCATTGCTGTTCTCCATGTCTACCAAAATTCTTCATCATGACAATATTTACCAAGTTGCATATACTCTCAAATTTGAATTAATTACCTAGATTTTTTTCTGTATTTCCAGGTTTATTGCAAAAGGAATACACTTTAGAAGCAATGTGTTAGGAGAATTTAACAGTAGACGTTATAGCAACAGAGGTAGTGGAGTGCTTGCTGGCAAAGGCAGCTATCCAGTTAAAAGCTATCAGTGCTAAGTGAGATAAAAGACGGGAAAGAAAGTGACGGCTTTGCCAAGAAGCAGTTTAAAATCTGACATTATAAACAAAACACATTTAAATCTAGACATAAATCTTCTCTTGTATGATGTAGCCTACATAGCATTTGAGCTAGCATTATTACTTACATACAAACATTTCCTGAAATGCAGTATCACAAGTGCTGAGCAGCCTTTAACCTTGTATTCATCCACTCAAGAACCATGTTATTTATTATCCTTTGTCCCTTAATTATGGGGACTTCACCTACTGCTCTCAGCTCATTTAAAATGCAGAATAAAATACAATGGATGTCTGAAGACTTAACAGGTGTCAACCAGATATTTGCCAGCTACCACTACTATTCTACTGGGATGAGCTGCTGTTCTATAAATACTAATTAGACTTCTGCACATGATCTTGCTGAAATACCTAAGGTGATGAGTGGCCAGTTGTTACTTTTAAAAGATTAGCACAATTTAAAAAAACTAACGTCCCCAATGAGGCAATGCTCACATTGAATAATCAAGAGTTATAGCTGTTCTCTGCCCAAAGGGAATATTTGCTCACTTCATCATTTGGAAAATCTGCTGCCTCTCTAACAAGTCACTCTTCTATTTCACTTTGAGAAAGTTGTAAAACTTCATAGAATAAATATAATGATGTGGTATATGTACTTAAACAGTCTTCCACAGCCATGCCCACATGATAGATTTTAATAGCTCTTAAGAATAGAGACTTCAGTTTGAAATGATTAAGACGCCACAACCAAAACAGATCACACTAAAATGAAGCATAAAAGAGAGATAACACTAAAAATTACATCAGCATAGCAAAAATGCAATTTACAGTAACCCACCTCGACCTCAACTCTTCACCTCCACAAATCAGAAAGACCCAAACAGAACAGGTGTGTGTTACAGCGATCCTCTATATTTGAGGTAGTCATTATCAAGGAAGAAAAAAAAAGAAACGCTATTTACTCAAAATCTCAGTTTAATAATTCCAGATTAGCAGATAATTGTCAGCAGAAATGCTAAGTGACCATACACGGCCCATTCCACTGGCTTGAAATAAAGTCTTGATTTTCATCTTGAAACGTAACTGATGTAACACGGTGTGACAGCACTGCATTTCTATGTATGAGCTGTGATTCACTGTGGTGAGATTTGACTGATGTAACTGACACAACCCTATACTATTCAGTAACAACCTAGCATGCCCACAGAAAAAAAAAACATCCAGGAAAATGAGAATAGAGACACAGAACTTGTTTCTATTTTTCTGCCTCTATTTCTTGTGAATAAGCATTCAGTAAATCTATTAACATTTACTGTGGAAATGCATATCTTTTAAATCATTTTTCTGGTTTTCTTTTTAAAAAATAATCTTATTCTTTACCATGAAATCTGGTTTTTCCTTATCATTCAGCATAATGCTTCCCCTTTTTTAAGTAGCTCATTACTGAAAATGTTTGGCCTTACTTCAAAAGAGAAGAATATGTCAACACCAGAACATCTGTGTCCACACAGAGTGCTTTGATGACAGTGATATACCCCATTTACATCACTAACACTGAGCTAAACCTTGATGCTGACTGCATTTAAAGATTTTACCCCACAGGGCAAGAGAATACAGGTCAAAAATGTTGATCTGTGTTTGACACACTCTACTTCAAGAGCACTTGGCAATGATTTGTTCCAGAGTCAAGAATCAAACTCGCAAAACAACGCAAAGCTCGGAGCCACGTTCACATAACCACACTTGAAACAAACATTAAAATTCACTGTCTCTGGAGGCCAATCTGCTTTTGATACAGAGGATTTTGCAAGCTATATGGTCAAATTCTATCCTGAATACAGCAGGATTTTTTATTTCAGTCAGAAGGGCATAACACTGCTCCAATGCAAAACAAATACTAGATACTGCCATCATAAAACTCAGACCTGATTGTATTTAAAAAGGCAGAAGAGTTGTGTATGACACAGCATTGCTTTTGACTGTGTGGCTAGAAAAAGAAGAATTTCAGTATGTATCACATGTCTCCACAGGCAGGCACAATAATGGTGAGTTCCTAAAATATTTAGTACAGGAGAGTTCAGAGATGAAGCTATGGAAAATCTGTAGAACACGGCTTCTAGTACTTTTATTTTTTTAGTTTCTTTTTAATATGTTGTGCTTCTTCAACTTCCTGTAATTAATATCTGCTTTTCCTACCAAATTACATTATATTTACTAAATCACTATGCTTGTTTAATTTTTAGTACAAGGTGAAGAGTTCTAAGTATTTCTCTTCAACAACTCTGAATCTTGAGGACGTTCATGTAAACCTCAGGACTTCAGCAGCATTAAACAATTCAATTCAGTGCTGCTTTCTAGATTAATTCAGAAGAAGCATCAAACAAGACCAAATCAATGCAAGCCAAATGTTGCCCTACTCGTGTTCAAGACCACAACTACCTGTACACTGCATGTGCATGGAAGTCTTATTTCATTTCAGTAGAGAAACAGAAAATTTTATTTACAGATTTCATTAGAACACCATGGAAACAGATAAAGAAGCAATTGCAAGAGGCACAAGCCATGTGAAAGGCAGGTCTAATAGAAAGCATGTATTCAAAAATAATCTATGTGTTTTCCCTTTTGAAAAGTATACATATAATTCCTATAACATCAAGCCAATTATACTGAGGAGACCCCAATATCACTGAGGGCCCTGACAACGGTATGAATTAATTCACACCTTTAAGGTACAGCAAGTTTTCGCACCTGAGCTATTAGAAAAAGAAAAGATATTTTAATGCAATAATTATCTTTTTTAAAGAAAGAAATTAGAGGTAGAATTTCTGAAACAGGATTAAAGTACGGTTGTAGCCCTGTAAAAGGAAGCTGCATTGCACACTGTGCATGGCTCCAGGCAATGCTATTCATTCCTCACTTTCATAGGAGCAAAATACTTCCCCCTAAAAATATAAAACACAAAAATAAATAGATCTCCTGGGAAGTGAAGGAGAAATCAGTTTTAAAAATAGTGAAGGAGCCTATATGTTCTAGAAAAACCCCATTTTGCATTGTTTTCTAAGATTTACACTTTAATTTGAAACCAAAGTAAGGCATAAAATTTGTATGAAAGCAATATCTGATTTATATATAGACTTAACACAAAATATACTTAGCTGCAAATACCAGACTCCAGTCAGAGAAAGAAAAGGTTCTGAAATATGATTAAAGTAAGTCTGATGTATCCCCAAAATACCCCAAAAAGGCTTTTTGGAAAGTAAATAGTAAACAGTAACATGATTTTTGCTACAAAGAAAAAAAAAAAAAAAAAAAAAGGATTTTTTCTTAATTAATTTTCAATGTTATTACATACATCTATTGAGCTGAAATTGACTCCAACTGCTACCTGTTTCCAGGGCAGGTTTTTTCTGTCCAGGTGACCTTTCCATGTAATTTAAAAAAATAAATATAAATAGCCCTACCTGTTGGTCAGACAAAGAAGAAGTGATCTCATGGTCACAAAAGTTAAGACTCAGTGAACTCCAGTTTTCTGATTGTTCAAGTATTTAAGGAAGACATGTATATATAAGACTAAGATTACGTACAGATTAATAATTAACCAATAAAGACTTTCAAGAATATGTTACTGTACACTTGTGGTCTAACCTCACTATCCATATTCAAATAAATCTTGCTAAAGGCAAATTATATAATTCTTGAGAGTCTTGCATACATTTAGACTCATTAGATTTACATATTACTCACAGTAGACATTTCATTACAGTTGGTCTAAAAAAAAAAAAAGCACCATCTATTTGTGTTCCATATCTGCATGAATTTCCATGTTGTATATATTGCCTAACTTATGACCAAGTTGTTTGACCTTCTGGTGTTTTCAGCTGCATCTACATCAATATATAAAAGAGCAAATACTGCTTATTGAATTGAAGTCATCCCAGAGGGCAGAGTTCATACTCTTAACTGCAACTTCTCAAAAACAAGGGAACCAAACCCAAAAAGCCTTTTAGACATTCTGTTTACCTCATAGCATTTACAAGCATTTGGGAGAGTGCAATGTTAAACAAGCCAAACCAGAGCCAGAGACCATGCTCACAGCTGGATGGTGAGGAGATTACCGAACAGCAATTTAGCCAGAGCCCCCACTGTTCGATGTGTTCAAACAGACATATCTTCAGTCACACTTATTGGAGCAAGACGCTAAAACATCGTCACAGCAAAGCTGGAAGAGGCCTCTAGAATTCATCCAGATCACATGCACCAAAGAGAACCCTATTCTCACAACACTGCTCATACATTCAAGTTCATTCCTACTCTTACTAAAAGCTACACCTGAGCCAGAAGATCTTCACTATAAAAGAATCCCAAGTAAAACACTTTTTCTACTAATAAGCAAGCCTTTGAAATGATAACTCACCATTTTTGTCTGCTTGTGGATTTCACCATTGGAGCCATTCCATCTCTATAGAGGCTTTTTGTTTTACTGAAGTTGACGACATTGAAAATTACTCTCTAGAAAAAGGAAATAAATCTCAGTTATAAATTATGAAATATTCTACACATTTGTCGTATATACCAGCTGCATAAAAACATACAGAAAATATAGAATGGATATGTATCTTATGCTTTGAAGTACTTTTAGTCTCCGTAGATCTCAGATAACACAGTGTATTCCTAGTATTTTAATAGCCTACATTTTACATCTCGCAGCAGTAATGTACTTTGAAAGTAAACTTGAATTTAATACACTTGGTTTTCTGGTAGGAATTCTATCAAAACAAATAGGTTACTCAGATTCAAAAACAGAAAAGCAAGTCCAGTTTATCTGTTGAAGATGTTAGTGGAAAGTAGGCAGATAGGGAAACTGATCTCACAAACACCTTTCATCTGCTTCATCTCTTAAAGATTCTTGTTTCTACACAGCAACAGGAAAAATAAAAACTTCTGATTTTTTTCCCCCTAAGAGAAGATTATTTCTCTTCATTCTTTCTGGCAAGAGAAAGAATTCTCTTCTGTAAAAACTACACAGAACAGTTATACATCAGAAATTGCACATAGCCATCGCTGGTTTGAATATGGTAGTGATGAGAGCCCAATTCTCATCTTAGTATATACTGATAGCTTGGGGAGACTACAGCTGGCATTTAACGGTTCAAAGGAAGAGAAAAGTCTAGATCTTCACTGGTAATGGACTGATACCAAAAGTAAATTCATGCAGAGGAAAGAAAAAAGACAAAACCTTCTTCCCTACCATCTGTCTGCTGTAAATCACTTCATGCAGAATTACTTATCCTGTTTCTGTTAAGAAAGTCTGGAGTAGACCAAGCTCATTTCATGTATTACATTAACCTTACAGATATTAAATCCAATATAGCTGGTTTCTCATGCCTCTGATATGCAACATTAGTGTACATAGAAAAACTGAAACATGAACACTAAATTAATTTTGATATGATGTTCCAGGATATACTACTGCATTTCATTTGTATTTCTCTCTCTACATTTATTTTCCGCTGGTGTCAGTGAAGACTGCTAAAAATTATATTTGCCCTGAGATATTCACAAATATATTTTTACAGTGAACTATTATAATATTTACACTGTTAAATAATAGTTCATAAGAAGGCTGAGAAAAAAGTGGCCACTATATGAAATCTAGCAATTCTGACTGAAGCAATAAGATCAAGTAAGCTTTCGTATGTAAAATTTCACAAAAACAAACAGGCAGTCTGTTCAGAACACAGTGAATTATAACATTAAAGTGAAAGCAATCAGCAGTGGGACACTGACAACAGGATCCAGGTACAGTTACATTTGCATGTGGGGCAGGTAAGAATCCAGGCAAACTACACACATATAGTTCTAATTAAGAATCTCTGTACTCAAGAAAAAAAAGGTTTTTAGAAGCATGGTAGCATTGAAGATTTCATAAATGGAAGCACAAGATGCTACGTATGCAAACTCTGCAAATTAGTCAAAATTTAAGAATAATCTGTGGGTTTTACTGGAAAAGGCCCAAAGTTAGCTAGTTTAAAAAAAAAAACAACAACACTTTCTTATGGCTGCTAATTCAGTTTTGTATCAACGTTAATGAGCAAGCTACATATCTATGCACATGAGTTTACAGGTATTTAGCAGTATTTTGAGTTTTTTGTAACAGCCATGAGATAAGTTACAAAAATAAACTCTTAGTGGAAGTACAGAGTTCATATTACTTTATATTTGTAATTTTCAGCACTGAGGATGTTGCTTCTTTGATGAAATGTCTATCTTAGGAGATCTCCAGTTATTTTCTGTCCTACACTTACAACATAAGGCTTTAAGTTAGATAATTATATTTAGGTATGTTTATATATGTTTATATATATATATATACACACACGTGCATGCATTTCATAACCTACATGAAAGCATTTTCCTATACTACACTGCTGAGTTTTTCCTCTGTTACTCAACTTCTTTCATATTTGTGAAAACAAATTAAGTTGCTACAAATTGGTTTGTCAATCTCCATGTTTGCACAGAGTGAATGAAACAAACAAGATCTCCAAACCAATTGCCTTAAACTTTGGATGCAATCATGTCACTGTTGGAAAGAGAAAGTTGCTAATTTTGTTACGGGCTGACTCAGAGCAGACAGCTGGTAGACAATGTTCTTATTCCAATCAGGCTTATTTTGTATAATGAGCAGGGCAAATGTACACAACTGGGTAAGCAACGTATACAAAAACAAAAATATGCAGCTCATTTAACAAAGCACTGCAGATTATAACATTTCAGCCACTCGTGTTCACTGCAGAGTACGCAGTTAGCAATGCATGCAGTTCTCTCAGCACGGCATACAGTTAGATTGGCAGAATGAAAATTTAACGGCACAGAACAGAACTTTATCAACATACACCGCTGAAGTAATAAAGCACGCAAACCGAAGCGCTCAAATAAGCAGCAGAACTCAGTCAAGTATTCCTGGTGACAGTTGAAGTAGCCCATGCAGCTCAGTCAGTGAAGTGTGCAAAAACGTAATGACTACAGTGTACACACCTCAGCCAGAAAAATATGCAGCTCACTCAATAAGGTATGCAAACTTCTCTGAACTGAGCACTACAACAACAGCTTCTGATACAGCAAGCATAATTTTCTGATCATAACTAGTTTCATTTTTTTAATTCTTGCTTGTTCTATATACCAGTTGTAAAACACAGGACAACAACACTAGATATATGCTACGCACACTGAAGCACTCTCTTCTAAGAAAATTATCACTATATATTTTATGAATTATAGACATACAACGGGAGGCATTTAATGAGTAATATAATTTAGAAGCTCAAAAAATGAGAAACTTCCCGATTTTTAAAGAAAAGTGCAAAGTTAATAAAATAAAACTAGATGAAATGTACTTACAAATTCCCTAGGAATTGCTCTACTCTCCAGAGCATCAATCCAGAGAAAAACGGCAGAGAAATTTCACAACAAAGACGCTTCCTTGTATTCACTTCAGAAGGTATAAATACCACTAAAAGAAGCAATATTCTAACTTGTAACTGAAGTGAAATCACATATGATTGTTTTTGGTATAGCATATTTTCAATCTACTGCGTCATTCTGACAAATGGCTGCAACTTCTGGGTTGGTGGAAGAGGCACAATGCAGAAAAGCCTCTCAGAATACCAGCAAGCACAACTGAACCACTTCGGGGCACACATCAGGGTGCACTGGGGTTTCACAGCAGGGAGGAAGGCATCTGCTGCAGTCTTAGGTTCTTGGACTGCCAGGGGTGGGAGATACTGGACAACAAGAGACCACAAAGGTCCTTACTGAAAAGCAAAGTCCCCTTTCCATGATGCATGCGCTAAGCATGTTGGAAATATCTCACTGTTAAATTCATTAAGATAGAAAAAATAATAGATCTGTCTTGCCCTTATCTTGAAGTTTACTGATAAAAATCTGCTTTTCTGGTAACCTTTGCAAAATTGTTTCAGGAATTCAAAGCATAGTCAAGTGTTAAGGTTCACTCTGGGTTTATTTTGTTTGGATGGTTCTTTTTTAATGGTTTCTTTTTTAAAACATGAATGAGGTAAACCCTGAACACAGGCAGAAAAGATGGCTAAAGCACATAGTACCATTGGTATTATTACCAGAAACACAGATTCCTGACTGGGGCTGGAAGGAGCTGCTAGTTTTGGAGGGGAGCAGCACACATTTGGGTAGTTTGGCACCAGAGCTGAAGTCATTAAGCACGGATGGCCATATTTTACATCATATTCTAACGTGTTTCTGTAAGCACAAGGTAAGCCTTAAGGTAAAACTTATAAGTTCATCATAAAATCACTCATATCATGGCAGGTTTTGCATCTGAATCTACCAACACTGAAGCACATCTCCAGCAGATCTCAGTCACCCCTTCACTAATGGCTAAGTGCCTTCTCCCAGGAGGAGGTCACACTAAGGCCCTTAAGAAGTCTACCAGGTTTATTTTGAGTGATTTTCTCCAGCAAAATTCTCAGGAATAACAGAGTTGCTATGGTTGACATTAAAAGGAGAAAACAAACCAAAGAACACCACAGAATTCAGCCTGAGGCAGACACCTGGCACAGTCAAATAGCTACAGATATGAGAAGTTATATCTAACTCAAAAGAGGATTGCTAATAAGAAGGGCTTTCTTAGTATTTACGTGACACATTTTAAATATTAAGGACTGTATCTATGTAGTATTACTAACATAATGCCAATTCGATGGACAATGCTTCATGCCACAAGAATAATGCAGCCTTCACTACACAAGAACTAAGCATTTAAATGCAGACAGGAGCAATTTCATCATTTAACCAGACAAGGTAATCAAGCTGGGCACAAAGCAGCAATGCTGGAATGTATCTGCTGAAATTAAGTCTGCACTCTTGTGCTCTGAACAAGCATTGAAGATTCAGAAGGCCCAAATACTATGGCTTCATTTCTTCTCCTGCTGATTCTTTAGATATTATAGCATTTGGGGAATTCCTGAAACCTGCAGTATTTTGCCAGCTGAGATATCCTTTCCTTTCTCTCTTTTTTTTTTTTTTTTTTGTTTGTTTTTGTTTTCCCATAGCATCTTCCCTTTCTCTTCTATAAATGAAAGCTTTTCTCCTTTTTAAGGTCAGATCTACTTTAGAATAACATTCTATTAAAAAAAAAACAAAAAAAAAAACAAAAAAAAAAAAACCCACAAAGCAAAGAAAAATGAACTTCTCAAGCCAACCCCACAAGTTGTGAGATTTTAGACTCAACATTTCTGAATGTGAGAAACTGGCAACATGGGACTGCTGCCTTCTCACAAAAAGAACTACATTTTTATATTTGTGTCAGGAGGTCGTTGGAATCTTTCATGACAAAGCACCTTATATAAGGCTATATAAAAATAAATTAGACCAAAGGGACTTCAAAACAGAGAGGAAAAAACTGTTACCTGCAACCGCTACAGATGCTGAAGATCACAAATAATACAAACACCCATTCTGTGCAAAATCCCCAA